ACAAATTTGTCCATTATTATTTACAACTAAGAGTTTAAGAATAGATGAAAATGTTTTATTTTTTGGTATTCATATAGTAAAACTCCAATATGATTTTTGGCTCTGATGTAAAAACATAATATAACATAATTAACAGCTAACTAGTTTTCCAGTAGATTCACCCAGCAAGGGGCTGGGGATTTAGCTCAGCAGCATAAGCGCCTGCCTTGCAAGCAGACAGTCATGAGTTTGATCCCTGGTACCGATAAAAAGGAAAAAGACAAAAAAAAAAATTCACCCAGCAAAAATAGATTATTTTTAAATGGATGGGAGATAGCTACATTCTATGCATAAAATACACAATTATTCTGATAGTTTACGTTAAATTAGTAGAGAAGTGAAAAGCAGCTATGTAATTATCAGAAATCATAATATTTTTGAACTTTAAAAGACATTATTGACAACATAGTAAAAACAACTCAACCACACAATTTTCACCTGGCACATGTCTTTCATCTACTTCAAATAAATGATGGAGTCTAATCCTGAGACTGGCTAAGAAGGAAGCTTGGGATATGAAAGGTTTGCTTCTCTCTAGTAATTCTGGAAATCCCTAGGGTTAGGGTTATTAATAATTGGCTATTAATAATCACAATAATGAATTATTACTACTATTACTACCACTTGGAATTTTCTAGAATTTTCACTTAATCACTTAAATATCTATATTTTACACAATCTTTTTTATTCCTCCTGACCTTTGTAAAAAGTAAATATTAGCATTACAATTTTATAGAAAAAAGAAAATTGAGATGTTTAAAGGCTCTCTCTAGTGATTTCTAATTTGTGCAACACTGAATCATATAAAACTGCTGATATTTAACCATTTATAACCTGTAGAAAGAGTAATTTGTTTCAAACATATATAACAAAGTTGGCTTAAGTGATTTCCTAAGTATAATTCAACTTTAAAATCCTATGAAATCATGTTCTAATCTTAACATAAAATCAGAATCTTTGCATATATTTTAAAATACATGTTTTTATTAACTAATATATACTATAACATATGTATATAACTTCAGCAAAGAACATTTAATGAGATCTCAGCCTTCCACAACCTATCAAAGTGGAACTGAGTGGAGAAGGGAAATTTCTTAGAATGCTGGGTGCAATGGGATGCTCCTATAATCCCAGCACTCTGGGAAGCTGAGAGAGGAGGATCACAAGTTGAAGACCAGCCTGGACAACTTACTAAGATGCTGTCTAAATGCACCTGCGGGGGAAGGGAGTTGCTGGTGGTGCAGGGGGGCTATTCAGAATACACAGTAGACCTAACTGAAGTACTGAGTAAGAAAGGATTTCATTAGGTGGGAACAGCAGATCAAAGCAATGAGAAACAAAAGAAAATAAGGAAAACTTCTGACTTCAATTTATTGCCAGTCTTACTGCAGTATTCCCAACATGAAACATGACGTAACTAATGGCAAAATGTCTGACAGCATCACCACCTAACATGTTAATGTACAACCAAAATCTATGTTGGATAGACAATAAAAATGTTTAAAAGAGTTCAAATTGACCACATCAATGTTTTTTAAGGCATGGCATCCTTGCTCAAGGCATGACACTGAATCTTGGCATCTTCATGACAAGGGAAAATGGGTAGTCCACAGAGAGAGAAGTTAACAAAACTCTGACACGCTGAAATAAGAGCATGCCAACTGACATGCCAACTGACAATGGGGAAAATAATGCCACAGGACATAATCGCTCTCCTTTACAATCCTAGGTCTTTAAAGAAAATGGAAGTATACAAGTACACTGGCTAGGTTATTCACATAAACTATTCCAATCGCAATGTATTCACAAAAGCCTAAGTCATTGATCTTTGCCAAGTATTCATAAGCACTAAGAGGCAGGAATATACATCTTCAAGAAATCCAGTGAAAAATTATAGTGCTGCTTCCCTGATGGTTCTCATCAGAGTCAGGTACAAGATTTTAGGGACACTCACAAAATATTTTATTCAGGAGAGATGGAACAAAGCCTGTGGGTTGTTTAAGCCCAATGACCAGCAAGTGGCTCTGACATGGGATCTAAGTTGAGAACAACTGCTAAGCATCCTGTGAGAAATGACTAAAGCACATTCTTTATCAGTGTGGTTCTGAGTGATCTTATTGATTTTAATAACCAAGAACATGTCAATATGTACAAACACAAATGTGTGGAGGTATTTGGATACTTTAAGCAATGTTAGCATTACTGAAACAGTTTTGTAATACACTAAGGAGATCAGTTTTCAAGGACAAAAATATTCAGATGTATTTGGGTGTAAACCACACAATGGTTTTATTGAGCTAGTCAAATAATATTGTTATAACAATTTAAAGTTGTCATATCTTTGCATCTGCCTGATAATTCTCGCAAATTCAAAGATGTCTTTTTTGCCTCTGATTTTCAAAAACTGGTAATGATTCCAAAGAACTAGTTAAAAACCAACAATCTAAAATCTTGTTTTTCAAATCTGATCTTTGGACTATGGATTACAAAGATCATGGGTGCATTTTTAAAATACCACATAGAGAAAATGGATACATTGGGAAATCATGTTAAGCAAAGTAAGTCAGACTGACAAAAACAAATATTTCATCCTCTACCTAATAAGTGGAATCCAAAATAGTATTCAGAAAATAGAAGGATGTCTATGATTGTTCGAGAAGAAGAAAATAAAAGGAGGGTTGGGAGAGAGAGTGGGGACAGGTAATAGGGTAGATAGATATGATCAAAATATATTTTATACATTGAAGGACCCCTCCCCAAAGAAATGAAACTAGGGAGAAGGTGGAGCAAGGAAAGTGAAAATGATCAGAGTATGTTATAAGTATGCATGAGTCTGCAAAAATAAAACCTATCAATCTGTATAAATATGCACCAATAAAATAGGTGTTTAAAAATTGTTTAGTTTCAAAATTTTCTAAGATTTTCAGATTTTCTAAAATTTGCTTGATCATAAGTAAGTAAAAACTCAGAAAGTGAAACTACACATACAGGAAGGTGACTGTACAAGAATGACTGGGTACATACCGGGAAAGTCAAAATCTACAAGAGTCTACCCTAAACAATCTCTAAAACATACTATGAAACCTACATAACAAATGTCAAAGGAACATATAGATAAATCACTTGTTGAAAATGCAAATTAAATAGGTCTTAATTCATAGACAAATTTAATATATGATAAAGGAGGTATCTTTAATCACTAGGGAAAATGCAGACTTAATGATGATGATAGCAAAACTGGGTAATCAATCGGAAAAAAGATAAAATTAGATGCATGAAAAACAGTTAATAGGGATAAATTACACACAAATTAGGGATATAAATGTTAAAAATGAAATTATATAAATACTAAACGATAATGTAGGTGAATTCCTCTTTAAATTTAGTATATAAAATTGTGTTCTATGATTCAAACTCCAAAGGCAATACTGATGATTTTGACTATATTTAAAAATATCTGCAAGTCAGGGTTGGGGATTTAGCTCAGTGGCATAAGCACCTGCCTTGCAAGCAGGCGGTCATGAGTTCAATCCCCGGTACCAAAGAAAAAAGAAGGAAAAAAATATCTGCAAGTCTAAAAAACCTCTAAAAACAAAGTTAAAAGGTAACTTTTACAACTGATGCAGTAAAATGATATATCTGTATCATACAGCAAAGACAAATGATAGAGATTCCCAAGATATGTGAGACAGATAGAAACTCAATAGAAAAATGGAAAAGGACCATAAAAGAACTCCTAATGACCAATGTTGGAACACATCAATGAATAAAAATAATGATGGTATTGGATATTAACATTAGAAAATTTAAATATCATAGATCCATACTATTATGAATAAAAAATTAATGAGTGGAGATAAAGGAAAAGTTTTTCTTTTAAAAGATTTATAATTAATAAATACAAAAGGAAAGAAGGAAACAGAAGATCACCATGAGGATATATCATACTAGTAACTGACACACATATAATCCACTGATGATTGAAAAATTAATGGCAAAAATATTCAGGAAAAAGTCATAAAATATCTCCACTAATACACATGTGCCATAAAATTTAAAAATAGTAACTTGGGCTGGGGGATGTAGCTCAGAGTACTAACACCACACATAAGGCCCTGCATTCAGTCATCAGCATTAAAACTAATAAAAACGTGTCACTTTACAAGAGGGAAATTCAGCATATACCACTTTATAAATAAGTTATTAAGGTTAGTAACACAAATATGACATACCAACGTGAACCTTGGATATGATGCACTGAGAACGATCTGTCACTTCTGTGGTAATCTTGCCAAAATGTGTAATAAAGAAACATCTCACCATTAAGAACAGAAAAACACTACAAAATAATTGTCCAATATTTCTCAAAAAAGTTAAGATTACAAAGGAAAGGAAATACTGAAGAATTATCATTCGTAAGAGGAGATGACAAAGACTGGAAAACAAAATGTACCATGGTATCTTGGGTTGGGTCTTGGAAGAGTAATGGGATATTAAATGAGAAAACTGATGCAATTCAAGTAATGTGAGTAAATAGTACCATAAATGGTATATCCTGGTTTTGATAACTATAGTATGGATATATATGAAAATATCAGAAAAAAAAACTAATGGTTATCTGGAATTACAAATATCATTTGTGAAATTTTATCTGTAAGTCCAAAATTCAGAATGAAAAAAATTTCAAGTTCTAAAAAAACTATAGTGACAAAGTGCCAAGGGTCAGGGGTGGGAGAAGAGGTCTGATGGCACAAGGAATAGGGACTGGTTTTTCAAAGTGTGGAATGTCTATAACACGATTGTGTTGGTAAGTCATGTAACAAAAATGTACTTAAACCATAAGTACTGTTATATGTAAACTGTGTCTCACAAATTATATACAAAGAATTCAAGATATAATCATATTAAACTCATACTGAGTTGCAATCCCAGTAAAAGCAGATTATATATGCTCTTACCAGATTAATTAATTGAGTGTGTACCACATCTTCTACCAAAACTGCTGTTTCATGAAGAGGTCTCCTAGCATCACCTAACGAATACCTGTAAAAGAAGGGAGAAATTTTACACATCCCTACATTCAGTACAATAAGGAAGTCAAAAGATAAAGACACTTAATTCAATCAGGTTAACAGCAGTTATAAATTGTTCTTTCAATGTCTCCTCTACAGGCAGTAATTTTCAAAGATAAGTGCACGCTAAATCTTATTTAGTGTATTTTTAAAGCACATATACTGTATCAAAATGCAAATCCCCAGTACTGGGGGCGGGGGGGAATACAAAGTTACTGAGTAAAACAGTTGACTCCAAGATAAAACTACAAATTCAATTTACAACTCTAGCACAAAAATGTATTTTTATAAGTTTTTTATATTAAAAGTCTGTCAATGAAGAAGTTGATCTCAAACTTTTATGAGTAAGTACTTTTCTGCTAAAATTTTTATTAGCATACATGTTGTTACAGTTTGAATATGAAATGTCCCCCTAAAATCTCATGTGTGCAGAAGTGGGGCTTAGGGAAGGTGACTGGATCATGGAGCATTAATCTCAATCAGCGGGTTAATCAACCGTTCACTTCACAGGTGAATATGCTATTAGGAGTTGAGGCCTAGTCTGTAAAAAGGACAGGTTACTTGAGGACATGACTTAGAGAGGTACACTCTTTTCTCTAGCTTGCTTCTTCTTCCTTCACTCTCTGCTTTGTGACTGCCATGCAGTATGCAATTTTCCTTCATTAGCCCCTCTACCATACTGTTTCTGCCTTGGAGTCAGTCAACTATGGACTCAATCCACAAGGACAATGAACCAAAATAAATTCCTCCTCCTTTGCAGGTGTTACTATGTTGTCCCAACAACTAAAAAGTAACTAGCAGACACATAAGAATCCAAAATGAGCTATGCAGATACTTCATCAGGTATGTTATTAATGAGTAGTTTACTTTTTAGGATTGCTAGCTCTTTAGCTCTTCTCTGATGATTTTTCTTAGGTCACTTATACTACTCCCACTTCCTAGCAATACACACAAACATACACACAGAGCAAGTGAAATATTGTTTGGAAATTAGAAACAAAAACTTCTGCACATTGCCTTTTTGCTCTGCAATGTATGTAGTATTTGTAAGCCAATGTATATATTTTTTAAGACAAAGTCCACGATAATAAAATTTGTAAAGCCGTTAGAAGTAGCTGATACATATAAAATTGTTTTTCCCTTAAAGAACCTATTTTATCACTGTCTGATGTGTTGCCTGGCTTGTCCTGGGTCTAGTATCCATTTCTTTTATATACTGCCTCTATGCTTTTAATGTCACAGTCTCCACTGAAGGCCTCTCAGGAAACTCCTCAAAGGCCTATCTCGTCCTGCTGTTCTCGTGCAGAAACAGACACTTTCTTAGGAAGGCCTTTCACTCAGACAGATTTGACAAGCAGTAGGTCTTAAACCATCCTGTTGAACTTCACTTAATTAAATGATTTGTGAAGACGCTTAACCCACCCCGTTTTTTTACCACAAAGGATTGGTTTTATTCAATCCCAGGATCAATGTTCTCTGTGAGGATTATACAATCAACCGTAATTTCCTTGTTAAGTACATAGCAACAGCATTAAATAAAATCATATGAAGTTACACGCCTCATTCTGTACATTTACATTCAGATATAAGAGGATGTACACTATTTAAAAAACAACAGGTTACTGTTTCAAAAAGCTTGCAGAAATAATGGGCAACACTTTTGATACTGTTGTTTATTACAGATGTGCTCAAGATAACCCAAAATTGGGGGAGATTCTTTAAACAAATACTAAACAAACAAAAAAGATAAAGAGAAAACAAGCAAGTAAAACCAAAAAATGATCAGAGAGATATGTCCAAATCACAGAAACAAAATTTTATAAATATACACTGAATATGTCTATACATGTATTTTTTCTTTTTTTTATACATGTATTTTTAAAAAGCAGTAAAACCTCTTCTGTTTTTCCTTATACCACTTTTTAAAAAGGGATTTTAAAAGTTTAAAAACTAAACGAACCAGGTATTTGCTATTTTATATTCTCTCTTAACCTTCTATTTGACATCTTTGGAAAGTAGTCTATGCCAAGAAGCTCCCCAAATACTCATGTCTTCATAAATTCAATGGCATTATTTCACTTGCCAAATCTTTTTGCAAACCTCTACAGCCTGTGAGGCTTTATGTAGCTGATGATGTGTCCACAGAACCATCTTCCTTCCTCACATCCCCAAATATGAAGGACAATCAGTATAAGCTCTTTTAATAGCATAAGCTTCAAGGGAAAAAATGAGATAGCACATGGACTATATGTGCACTTCCAGTTCTTTTCAAATTACATAAATGCATATAATATTAGTTCAAACGCATAGCATAAAACACAAAAGACAAAGGAGATAAAAAAGCAGTATTTTAAAATAAATATTCTGTTTATGACATGAGAAAGTCTTTCTTTTCTCTCTAAAATATATTGTTACAAGCACAACCATCCTAATCTGCCTAGGACTTAAGAGGTTTTCCAAATTATTCTCTACCAAATAGACCAGTTGTAATTAGTACTAAAAGGTCATGAGGTACTTTTCATAAAAACAAGACAAGCCAGGAAATTGTTTAAGAAAATGAATAAATAATATATAAAATACATATTTACTTTCAAACAATTATCCTTTATTTTTCTAGTCCTATGGTCCCAAAGCAGAGGAATGAATAGCACCTAGGAGATCTCTTTCTTTGTCTAGAGTCAATGTTCTTCCAGGCTCTGAAGCTGAGGACAAAGCTCATAAACACTGGATGATGAGGAGTGGGTATACTGCTGACTTCACCTTGCAGTAACAGATTCAAACTCAAGGAACAAGAGCAGCCAGACATGCGAACCCAGAAAAAGTGATGCAGCTCACATAACAAACATCCAACAAGAGCATGACAACCCACCATGGCACATCACAGCCATCTATTACAAGGATGGGAAGGCAGTTCTGATGAAAAACTGGCATCCTGGAAGTGAAGATGATCTGGGTTCTAGGTCCCTTGGCCTAGTACCCGACAAGCACCTTTCTAGTACCTGAATTTCTCAACAACAGGACAGGATCAGATTCAACGACTTTAAAAGAGGCCTGTTTAGATGTTTGATTTTGATTTATTTATAAGCAACTACACATCTCTTAAATCTGAAAATCTGTCTCCATAACACTGAGTTAACACTACCACTAATTAAATCTTAATAAACTGCGTAACAATCATGAAAATGGGATTTTTTAAAACAGGTAACAATGAAATAAATGAATAAAAATAATCAGAAGACAAGAAAAAAAGAATGCAATTTCTAGTGTTGCACATGAAAACAGTCTGCTGTCCCTTAAGAAATTACAAATGAATCAGGAATGCCTTTAATCCTAGCATTCTGAGAGACTGAGGCAGGGAGCTTGAAAACTCAAGACCAATGTAGGCAGTTTAGTGAGACCTCACTGTCTCAAAAGAAAACATATAAAAAAGGCTAGGGATTTAGTTCAGTATAAAGGCTATCTAGATTCAATCCCAAGAAAGAAGGGGCGGTAGGTGGGGCATGATAGTGGGGTTAAGGAATTTTTTTTTTTAAATAAAGTAGATCCTATCATAGAAAATTCTTTCGATGTATTCAACAGGTCCACATTTGAATCTAAAACGCTTTTTAATTTTTCAAGCCATAAGAAAAAAACTGATCAAGTATTAGTTACAAAACCTTTAGAAAAATCCCATCTGCTCAAAGGATTAAAGCAGGGGGAACTGAATCACAGGTATAAGGACTATCTCAGCAATTTACTGAAACTCTCATCACATAAAAAAGGTTGCACGGCTTTATAGCTCAAATGGTAGAGAACCTTTGGGTTGAGCATCTAGTGAGAAGCGGGTTTTGGAAAGAAGGAGAAAAAGGTAATAATCTGTGACAAAGAGTCTGTTGGGCCAATCACCAAGAACATGAGGCAAACAAGGAGATCTGCTTTTGAAATGTCTAGGAATAACACAGTAAAGAAAAAAAAAGAGATGTTTCTTTACTACTAAGTATGTGTCTTGGATGCTAAGTTACTTTCAATACTTACCACAGGCTACAAATACTACCGTGGTTAAATTATTCTGGATGGTGTAGTTAAATAATTGCTGTGTGCTGTGAGCCAGTTAATTTTAGGGGGAGGAGGTCTTTGGGTTTTCTTGGACATTTTCCTATTCCAGGTAATTGACATTACTTAGGAATGGGCACTATGAGTTACAGCTTGGGGGATGAAGGTCTATGTAACTTTCTGTCTCTACAAGCAACTTAGTGCCTCTCCAAAGCACTTACCATTATATTTTCAATTACACTTTTATAGGTTAGCCATTGCTGCAATACCTAGGAATTTATACTGAGTAGCAGTCTATAGCCCTAGCATGTTCCTAGTCAGCTCATCTGGCCCTAGACAGCACATGAAACCACAGACATCAAGCTATTTGTATCATTCTCACCCAGTGTTTGTGAGACTACTTTATCCACTGGGATGGGGATTGGGGAAGTTTGCTTATGATATCACTTAAGGCACGCAAAGTCAATAAACATACACCAATTAACCTTCCTCCCCAATTTATACCTCTCACCATAGCAACTCTATGATTTTATCTACCTGCTTCACAAAGGAAAAAACAAATTCAGTTCAAAGTGGCTTTGTGAAAGCAAAATTCTCAATCAAAATATCAAATATCTACAACAAATTTCTGAGCAAGACAGCTTTCCAGCTTTCCTTGCCATTTGCTTGACTCCTCAACATTCATTTATTCATTACCCTTTTTACATTATATAAATTCATACATAATTTAAATAAACCGAGAATATTTGTAGAATTTTATCACAGTCACTAGTAAAAAATATAGATATAAAAAATTGTAAAACCATTTATGATGTAAAATAAGGCTAATGTGAAAAAACACACATATTAATTTATCTGTTTAAAGAAAATAAAAAAATAAGACCCAGTGACAGAAAATGTGAACACTTAAATCTTCTAAGTATTGATCAATATTTACCC